AGAAGAAAGAATAAAAGGAAGGAAGAACAAGAAATAAAGAACAGTGATAAAGGACGAGGAATAAAGATAAGTGGGATACCAGGTGAGGTGGGTGGAGCTGGGTCAGGCAGGTGTGCCCTGACAAGAACCCAGAAGGGGTTGGTCTGAAGGTGGACTTGCAGGGTAAGCAACTAAATGATCCAGCAGGAATGGGGGTGTGCTTGTGGATGTCGGGGCTGTCTGGAGACCTTTGGAGTTCCATACTTAGGGAGGCATAGGTAATATGTTGAAATGGGAGGGGGGTGACCATCGGGGGAGTCAGAGGGTATTGCAGGATCCAGGAGCTCCAAGGTTGGAGGTGAAGGAGCAGAGGTGTCAGAGTACACCCACTTCCGGCCACTTCCAGCCTACTTACCCATCATGATCTGATTCCATGATCTATGATCGCTCGGATTCCATGATCCATGATCCCTGTACAACCCTATGATCTGATCCCACATCAGCAAACCCCTGAAGTTGATAAAAGTGATAGGAAGCACTTTAATCACTTCTATTTGTCATACCAATGTAATCTATGCATCAATTGAGACTCAAGCAGCTCAATCACAACAATCTCAATGTACAATTACGTACTTTCCTTCCCACGCATGATATGTGAAACCATGGCTTCAACTAGGTTAGGAAATACACCTATTTGCATCCGATCAACTTCACAGGTTGGCTCCAAATGAATAGCTTCGTGGACTTAACATTTTTTTCACTCGGTGACGGTGACGTGGCTCTTATGCATCACTTCTAGTTCTCCAGGTAGGTCCCTTATATTTCTTTCATAGTACATATTTTCCAAGTTACTCATAGCACTCTATGCATAATTACAGGTTGTACGAGCTGCTCAGCCATGTCTGGTGAGTGCTACCCATTAGTACATGTTCACGCACTAATCCCTCATCACCTAAGGGACCTGATAACTCGCAGAATCACCCATCCCACAACTCCTGAATCCAACCATTCCCCAAGCCCCCCATGTCCAACACACACCTGGAATCCTTCGATGAACTGGGCCTTGCCCCTTCAACTTTGTTTACATTTTGTATTATGTATTTATGCACAGTACATAGAGATCGTGAAATCTGAAATATCACTGCAATCACCCCTGAATTTTAAGTTGGAATTGACTCAATATGGCCTCTTGTAATCAGGGGGCCTTCTAGAATGATATCACGATAAAAATGATTCCTATCATTTCTATCAACTTTGGTGGTTTGCTGATGCACTCTAAGATCCAAGATCCAAGTTCTGTGATCCATGATCCAGCACAGCCAGACAAACCTGGATCATTGATTGTTGGTATGTACAGTGCCTCCTAGATTAGCTGTGTGTGTGGGCTACTGTCAGAGACTGGATTTGAGACAAAGGAATGTCTCCATAACGGAGGGCTTCGGCCTCAGCGACTTCTGCCAGGAGCGCTGTGCCTAGTGACACATCCGTGCCCTAACTTACTGACTGGCAATTAGAACCTAGGGGGGGTAACTCTAGTTGATTTTACTACTGGGGTGTAACCTATGTACAAGCGGGATATATATATGGTTACAGCAAAGACGGGTCCGCAATTGGTGGAGCCGGACGGAGCGGAGCTAACAGGGTTAATCATTAGCCGACTGAATATTACCGACGAGTCGGGTCGCGGGGTTAGCGGAGAGGTGGGCGTTAACCCAGAAGCGGGAAGGAGGGATAAGCCCGAAGGTAGGCTCTGCAGGGCAGGCGATTGTATTGCCCAGCGGAGGCGGGGGTGCACTAGCGGACATCAGAGCTGTCCGGAAGTCGTCAGGGCTCCGTACTTAGGGAGGCGTAGGTAATAAATTGAAATGAGGGGGTGGTGACCATCGAGGGGTGCCGAGAGGATTGCGGAATACAGGAGCTCCAAGGTTAGTGAAGGAGGAGCGGGGTTAGACCGGAGGGAACGGAGGGACCGGAAGTCGATGGCCGGGGATGGATATGACAGCTACAGTATATTACACCCTGAGTAGCGAGTAGGAAGACCAGCTTTCTTCTCTCATTTCCCCTTGCTGCTCAGCTGGAGCCTGTGTTGCCTAGCACACCTCATGGTTCTCCTATTGAGACTGACCCAGACCTTCCTAGTCTTACCTCCACATCTACTGGATCCCTTGACCTTAGCTCCAAGCAGCTTGGTATCCTGACAAGAGGCGATCCAGGAGGACCAGAGGTGATGGAAGGTGGTGGTTGTGGATGGATATGACAGTATCTATATATACTGTCATATCCATACAATCCTGACCTCTGCTCCAGGTTCCTGGAACTCCAAAACTGACCCCGGAGCCCCACCTCCCTTCCATCACCTTCTCCTTGCCAACTCCCAAGAGTTTATCCCACCTCCAGCTCCAACACCACCTTCAGTCTGACTCTGGACCATTCCAGGTCCGACCTCAACCTCAACACCTTCCAGACTTACTTTGGACCTTCCAACTATTGCATTGTCCCATTCAATTCTGCTATTCTCCCTCATTCCTATTTGGGCTGCTGCTTCCTTTCTATTCAGTCAGCTAGCCATTCCTGACTCCCATCCTCCTTCCTTCCTCCTTGGGCCTTGGCCCTTCACTCCTCCTTTGGGAAACTGTCAGGGCACACACCCTGACTAGCCCGGACCCGGACCTGCATCTGGACCCACTTCCACCCACCATGCTTCCCACACGCGTGCATGCTCCGCACGCCGCATGCTCCGGGCCTGGTTCCTACCCCTTCATGTAACTTCCGGGTATCCCCGGAAGTTTTGCTGATATTGTGGCCACTGTGGGAAGATGAGAAGTTAGCTTCCTTCTCATCTGTCAGAGATCTGGGATGCTGTCAGAGACTGGATTATTGTCGGAGTCGGACAAACTGTCAGAGATCTTGGAAGCTGTCAGAAGACAGACTGAAGATGGACTGGGTTCTGTCTGAGTTGAGGTCGGAGGTGATGCAGAGGTCTGTTGGAGCGCGTGCGCGGATATGCGGGCGGAAATATGCGGCGCATCCGGAAGCGCTGTTCAAGGTTAGCAGAGTGGGATCGCGGCCTCAGCGACTCAGGTGGAGCGCTGTGCCCTGAGCTTGACGTTTGGGGGAGATCCCATATTTATGGACTGATACTTACAGCGGACTTCAAACAAAACTTGCGGGTGGAGCGGACCTGTAGGAGGAGTGCGGACTCCGCGAGCACGGACTCAGAGGGGGGGAAGCCCCCTTTGCAGAAGGAGGGACTCAGACCAGACAGGGGGGGTACTCTAGTTGATTTCAGACTGGGGTCCCCGAAAGTATTTACAAGGTATATAAATAGGCAAGAGGAAATATAGAAAGCCGGTCAGTCCGGTGCGGTCCGGCACGGAGATAAGCGGGGATTGTCAAACTAAATAAGGACAAGAGCCCGGGAACTGGAAACAAGGAACAGATCAATAAACAATAAGTGGCAAGGGTTATTGATGAATAACTGAATGAGATCAATAACCTAGTGCCAATAAAGAGGGGATCAAATGCCGATATTGGCAGGGAAGCAAACAATAGATGGCACTCGGCAAGGAATGAATGATAAGCTGCCAAGTGACAAATGACCAGAGGAAAAGCGGAGGTCAGCGCGCGGCGCCGATACAAGTCCGCAAATAAGCGGGGTCGGTGCGGTGCTGACACAAGTCCGCGAACAGAGGTTGATCTGCCAGCACTGTCACACAGGGACAGCATGAAGGCCAACAGAGGTACAGAGGGGAGTGGGAGTGTTGACCTGACCAGAGGTGTCAAGGGCAACCAGAAGTGGCCAGAAGGTGCAGAGATGGGCAGAGGGTGCGGAGTGGGCAGAGGGTGCGGAATGCACGGAAGCGGGGCATGGCTGTGACCACATAGCGGGAAGCGATGAGTGTGGTTCAGATGGAGACAAGGCAGGCGTGACTGAATGCCGGGAGCGCCAAGGGCTCAGGAACTGGAGGTAAGGTCGGAATACCGGCAGGGTATAGGTTCTGATTCTTGGCCAAGTCTCACACAATAAGGCAGGGGGCCAGACATGGGGTTGGGGGCTGGTTAGGATGGGTTTCGGGTTGGCGGATTCGCCTATCGGCATTGGTTCACCGCTGACAGAGCCCCGGGATTTGTCGGTCGTGACATCATCTCCTCACCCACAGTAGGCAAGTGTATTCTACATTGCCTTTATCTATTCATCTCCTTACCCACAGTAGATTGTGCCCTGGATAGGGCTGGCCAGACCTGAGGCTGTGGGCCATAGGGGAGGGTCATGGGGACCCAGGAGTCATCCCCTGACAGAAACACCATTGAGTCAAACCCTTGACCCTCAGTGTTGCTCCTCCTTCCAGCTCCCTTTGTCTCCTTTCAGACTACCCTTGTTCCTTTTGATTCCGGACCCCTCCTTATATACAATGTACCTAGTAACTTGTAACCTCAGTCTGAAATTGACTTGATTTCCCCCTAAGAGACTTCCCCTTGCTAGATCCAAAATTAGGGACCCCCAGGACAACCAGCAATGGCACAGCGCTCCACCTGAGTCACTGAGGCCAAGGTCCTTCCATGCTAAGTCTCCGATTCCATTCCAGAGTTGTCTGAATCTGCCCAATCTAACATATACAATACCTGTAGATACATGATACCTTAGTTCATAATTGACTAGAGAATTTGAATTCCCCCCTCTCTGCTTGACTCTCCCAGTCAGTTAAATTAAAGCAACCAGACATGTTTGCTGGGTACAGTACTCCCTTCCAAGTTGCTGAGTAGCCTTCCACCTTGAGTCATCTCATCATCCCATGTTTCCACATATCTGACAGGCTTTGCTCCTCCTGAAATACTAACTCCATACAGTCTAGATTCTCAACAGCCTGAGGATTGAGTCACCATGTTACAAAAATGGGGCCAGAGGTGCCCATTTTCATCCATTCTGGCACAGGAATAGGAAAGGGGGTGGGACATACATAAGGGTTTGCAGATGATAGCACAGGTGGTGTAACATAAGATATAACAAATGTTTAACAAGCAGGTTTTTGGTTGTAATTCATTGGATAACATTCAATATTATACAAAACATGTGATAAGGGCTGTGCACAGGGCCCATAAGAGTCTAAAATGGGAAATTCCCATTTCTATAACACACCACCCAAACCAGCCTCACAAATAGCTAGGGCACAACCCCCAAACAAATGCAGGCCATCTTACTGGCATCATTTTTGGCATCTTTCCTGCTAGGGAAAGCACTCCCAACATAACTCTGACCACCTACTGCAAGATCATAATCAGAGTATGCATCACACTTAATAGGACATTTCACTGACTAATGCATGTGCATGTCCACAATAGAGTCACAGGCCCATGGCCAATGCTCTCATAGAATACCCAATCAATAGAGAGTTTATTTTGCCATGCAAAATTATTGATGGCATCTGTGAAAGATGCAGCAGCATAGGTCCCCATATTAGACTTGAATCTATCTCCAATTTGAAATTCATTCATGATATTGTGTTCACCCACTTCAAGAAGCTTGCGATTTGTTCCTGAAGCAATGGCCAATCTGCTGAATTTAAGCTTTGGCCTGCATGATGAATAAGGCATCGACTCACTCTAAACTTTCTACAACATCACTGGTGGAGGGACGTAGAGAAGGTTCGCGTGCAAGGCACCTCTGGAATGCTTCATAGAAGGGATCCGGAGAGCCCCACTCATAGGGGTCCATAACTGTGAATAGAAGGTGGTATTCGTTGCGGATACCCTCATAAGGACGTCTGCCAAGAAGTATCTGAGGATGGTGAGATCCCGATTGGTACACAGAAGAGTGTGGAATACCTGTGACAGCGTGCATCCAAGGGACCAAACGTCACCTCGTCGGTCGTATGGGACTTCGTCTCCAGCCAGAATTTCTGGGGGGACATATCTTAAGGATACAAAGCACGCACCCTCAACTTTGAGGTGGACGGATTCATCTCTGATGGCGTACGAGAATCCAAAGCCATTGATTCGAGGAATGGGATCCTTGTCACCGACGTCGTAACCGATGTGGACGTTACTCTGGGAAATTGGTTAACTTGTGGTTTCACCATCAGTAGATCAGAGCGTACGAACTGGATTAAGATTCCCATGAACAATATGGTTAGAATGAAGATATGAAAGCCCTCGGGAAATTCCAAGAATCTAATGAAGCGCTTAAGGCAAAAGGGACGCATTGAGGGTGCCCATGGCGAAACGTACCAATCTTTGGCGATCCGCATTCGCATTTGTGCTGAGATATTCCATCACTTTCCCACCCTCACAACCAGCATAGGTAACTCTCGCACGAAGCCAGGTCTTATCCTCCAGATTCACTGTCCATTCTTGGAATCGGGCAATGTTGGTATGAATCAAAGAGCGAAGCATCTTCAACTGGCGCTCCACGTGCTACGACCGAAGATTTAGCCTGTGTTGATGTTGGCGAACAAATCGCAAACCTGAACAAAATGCTCCGCCTCCTCCTGCAAAAGATCAACCTCGTGTATGACTTCTATGAGAACACTATTCTCGCCCTAAATACCTCACCAGATGAGGGAAACCCAGTCGAGTTAACTGCGTGATGCTTACTCCATCGCCTAGGCTGGGGACAGTAGTTTGGATATCAAACACCTCTCCATCCAGATTGTGTGAGCCGCTAGCAATGCAACTACTTGAAGCGGACGATGCAAAGTCTGCCATCTTGGCTGGTGCAGAGAAGCGGCACAGTGGGTGTGATGGATGTTCAGCGAAGCCTTATGGCATACGGTCATTCACTGAGCCAAACGGTCCAGGAAGGTCCCCACGTCATGGAATGGGCCAGTGATAAGGCATGCAATCAAGATTCGGTAGGTTCAGACTCGAGAGCAGGCTTCATTGGGATAACATAAGTTCATAAAGACCTTCGCTTCAAAATTTGCATCCGAGCCTCAGCAGCCCTTATATTCACATCACGACAGAATGAGCCCTTTTCTGTCCAACTCGGTCACCGTACCTTCACCGTTGCTCTACCACTATCTTCATCCCTGCACTCGAAGATTCGGCCATGTTATCTGACGAGGAATCCCTAGTACAAGGTGTCACAGAGAGACTGCTGCAGGTTGACTCAACGATCAGGTGGTGGTAATCGAGCATGGGGAGCTTTCGGGTATATTTACAAGGGGACCTACGACACGGTCCATATCTTCCACAGTCCTCCGCTCGTTGAGCTGCCATCCGTCCATCTTTCTAGAACAAGGTTTGCATAAAGACTTTCACACGCATCGATGATGCAAGGAAATTTATTAAAGCATGTTGACGCGGACACGATGGGCAATTCTCTGCCATTCGCTCGCAATTCAAGCGGCTAATCCGTATGACCGTATGGTGCGAGTTGACGCATGCACACATTGTTCAACTTCTCGGATGGATGTCATTTCTCGAGAGCAAAGAAAAGTTACGTCCGAGCTTAGTGTCACATTGGTGCGAGGAAGGGGATGTCAGGACTTTTCTACAACACCGTCGCGACCCTAATAGTTCATGCTCCTTAAGTCGTGTGGGATACTTGCTGACGCCAGAGCGATGATGCGAGGATATGTATCCTTACCAATTTGGAAATAGATTGGCCAACATGCCCATACAAGTGAGGCACGCAACACGCACCACACTACCTCACCACACTATTACCATTGAAGCCAACAGGTCGGGCGCCTGATCACTGTGGAGTTGGTGCCATCGTTTGACAGAGTAGAATTGAATTCTGACGGGGTTTCCTCTCAACAATGAAACCGTTGTGCCAATTATTGAAATCACTGTAATGGATGTGCCGCATTGGTCTGCTTCTTATCGTATCCTTCCAAATGAATCGCTGATTTTTGTCCTAATCAAGTAGCCCCATATCTTTGATACCTGTTACGACATCAATCAAACTGTTTCCGATCCCTGAACCAGTGAAGGAGTGTTCGTTTCCAAGTTGATGGCTTATCCGCCCCCGGAATTTCCATCGCCACCCACGCAAGTCAACGTGGCGGCAGAGGATGATAGGGACATTTTCCTGGCCTGCCTCAAGGAATTTAAGAAGCTCGGTCAGAAGCTGGATCGCATCATCACCTCAGCTGAACGTCAGATGCCCGATCGCATGATCCTCGCCTCAGCTGAACCAGTGAGTGATATTGCTCATACATGTACGAATTCCCTCGAGAGTGCACCTTCGGATGAACTTGAATTCTGTCGTTGTTAGCGCATTCTGGCCCGGGAAATGAGGAAATCGAGGATATCCAGTTTAAAGCATTTCAGCGGTAAGGGGGGGGACCACAGCCGGTTGTTCAACTCAGTGTGACAAAACAGGTTGGAACTGAACCCGCTTAAACATTCCCCACATTGTGTAGCGAGATGGCGAGACTCAGCAGTGCCGTGACACGCATCGCCGACACTATCAAAGATCTCAAATCCGCGTATCATCTGATTCGAATATCGGAAGAATTTCGCTCTCGCTTGGCATTGGTTTTCCGTATTCTACCTCTTATTGCTTCCCCATCATCAAGTGCCAAACTGAAGAAGCAGTGGCTCGATCGGCCATCGTCCTCCTTACCCATGCAGTATTGGACGCCAGCACAAGTTATCCGCGAGAATATTTATCTTGATGAGACTATGACTGGTACTCCCGATCGAGAAACTCTCTCCATGGGACTTCAGAAGCTTGGCCAAGGAGTTGATGTCTTTAATGCTGCTCTGAAAGGCCTTCCTGGGTTTCATGATATTCCAGGCTACAACGCAAAGGAGATCAACCTCTCATTGCGAAATTTCGCTCAAGACCTGAAATATTGGGGCCGTAATTTGGACAACTTCCATGGCTCGTTTTTCTTTTTGTTCTCATATCCGATATCTCGGTAAACTAAAAATCGACCAACCCAATATGTGTCACAGGGCAAACACTTTCGCACCACCTCAGGGCGCACGTCGCTACCATTCAGGGGAAAATAGCAGATCATCTAGCTGGAATCACAGGCGCTCTCGAGATATTCATTCACTTGGGTTGGCAGTTGTCCTTGCATTCATTGTCCCTACAAACAACACGTTGATTATGACAGGTTTGCCGATTGTATTACGTTCCGAACGGGATTCAACATTTCAAAATTTGTCGACAGTCGCAGCCCTCTTTGCGAGCGTATCCGCAACGACGATTCAATTCAGGTAAGTTTTGTTTCGAAGTACTTACTTTGTGCTTTTAGAACGCACGCCTTCACAACTCTGCTGTTGATCATCTAGCTACACACAAGCGGGTACGAGGGTCGAACAAGCAGTCAACGTCCTCTGGATCGTCTCGCTTGTTTTTGCCATCGCGAGTGCCACCAATAGTCAACTCAGTTATCAGTGAGTTTGGAGCATGCCGATCCGAGTTTACGCAATCATCTCCTTTAGATGGACCTCAGTTGTATTCTCGACTCCGATGTCGGCTCTCTCATGGTGGGGATCCCTGTGGATTCGCCGAATGCCTCTTATCTTTCTTGTTCTATCCGTAATATCGTTAGTGAGCTTCTGTCATAAGGATGACTGGCTTATATAATGAGTACGCCCCTCCAGGTTCTCCGTGGGCATTGTGTGCTTCACATTCTCTAATTTCGGGAATCACCCGATCATCCCAGTCTGTGTCACGGCTGCTTCAGCAGTCTCGGCAGTAGCACTGTTCTACGTTGGACTCCGGTTCATTGCAGAGTATTTTGCATTTAGGAGCAGAAAAAAGACAGGGGTACGCCCTTGAATAGCCTCTGAATATCATCGAGCCATTTCTGACAAATAATTTTCCTGCTGCACGTAAGGATGAACTTGATTATTTGTCCGGATCAGCAGGGGATTTGGCGAGCGATTGGGTTCTGAAAGCTCTTCGAAGGTGAGGAGTAGATATCTGTTTCTAATTCCTCCATTCCGATGCGGATGAAATCGTGACCCGACTTGTCTCGTATCTCGTATCAAGGGCCTATCAGTCAGCTGCACTATGGTGCTCTAAATATCAAGAATGGTTCCTCCTGATAATCGGGTATCTGCTCTTACTGATTTGCTTGACATATGATACTAATTGTGTCCAGCATTACTGTCTTTCCTATAACTTTCTTCATCATTTTCTGTCTCTTTCTTTGCGAAAAGTATGGCATAGAGACCGACGAAATATGGGAACATATTTGCGATTGGTTTCGGCGGATCAAGAATCTCGCACAAAATTGGCGCCAACAACGCTTAACCAGACGCAGGTCCATTCTCCCTACGACGTCCGATACCCCAATCTGGCGCAGTGCAATGGAGACACGACTCCGAGATAATGACCAACCGCCGTCCAATGTTGGAGGTCAGTCCTGCTCATCTATCGTCTTGTACACGAATGACTCTACTCCCCGAATCCGACACACTCGCAGGCAATGATGCTGAGGCTCATGCGGTCGCTCAGCTCAATCTGAATATCAGGACGATCCACCGGAGCCTGGAACTAGGCGAGGGTCCCTCGAACCCAACTTCCCCCATCCAGAAATTTCGTAGTGCAGTCATCAAAATAATCATGGAAAACCGTTGTGATAGGGCAGAACTCAAAAAGAAGCATAAAAAGGAGGAGATGGACTCAATGAAACTGGCACTGGGGTTTTTATCACCCGTTCAGTCATCACGGGAGCATACGACGATGATCCATGACATCAATTTCCGTTACGATGGCCGTTACCGTAGGTCAAAGATGTCTGTTGTAGGACCACCATTGCTGAATATCAGTAGTTGCTACTTTTTCAGCCCACGAAAAAAAAGTATTCATCTGGGAAACGAACCAAATGGAAGTGAAGGTCATTGAGCGGGTGGATTTGCGGCGTAGATCTGATCTCCCATCTGGAGATCACATGGAAGCAATTCAAGTAATGTTATTGAGAGAGAATCGAGTGGTGATAATTAAAGTATGTCTTACCAGCTAACTCCAAGCGTCAACAGCGTGACGTCATATTGTCTATCAAGGGATCGTGGCTTAAGCGATTGTGGCTTCTGCGGCGGCTTCTGCGGCTCCTGGCGCTTCTGAGGCTTCTGAGACTTCAGCGGTTTCAGCCGATTCTGGAGCTTAGTCTGTTTAATTTGTTTCATCGGCTCTTGCGGCATGCGGGGTTGAGGCTTCAGTCGATTCTGGGGCCTCAGAGGCTTCAGGGGCTTCATCGGGTTGGTGCTATAAAGTGCATCAACTGGGTTCCTGAGGTCGGTATGAACGAGGTCGGTAGGAATTTTTCAGGGTGGGAAGAGCGCACATCCAAGGCCGCCCACTCTTGATTTGGGATTTGGACTGAAGCCTCTACAGGGCACACGTCTCCCTTTTGCAGGGGACCTTGACTACGCACTCGAGGATGCTGTCCTCACCCGGGACGGAACCAAGCGAGCTTCTATTCACATAACACATGATGTCGACGAGCTGAATTTTATTATACAGATTATTGGGAATAGCTACAGTACTGAGTGCAATGGCGGACAAAGATTATCCGAAGCCATCAAAGTCCCCTTCGGAATGTCGAATCATTAGTGAGCATATTGGTGATGATGATAAACTCGGAGAAACTGATTAATATCATTGCAGTCTATGATGTCGAGACAAAGAAGACTGTTTTGTAAGTTTGTCGATCGGGTGGTCGTGGACAGCCATGTCATATATGTTGAAGCGAAATTCCCACCTTCGACTCCATACGGAGGATGAGCCTATCTTACTCAAGCAAGCGTTTGCTTGTTATGTCTGATGGCAGTGTACAGTGTCATGTTCTTTCTATAATCTTGTACCTTACTTATTACATACTTTCATTCTAGACGCCACCGCGCCTGTTCCTAGTTTACCCTACCTGGCTTGTCCCATTACACAAATTCGACCTTCCAGATGAAACGGAATACCCTATTTATGGCCAGTTTGGGATTCGGAGCCCTGCCCCCGTG